ATGCATTTCTGCGTGAGCATCTTGAACGGGAGCCTGTGAAGGGCCCGGTTCAAGACGCGCAGATCCAAGATCGGTCTCAACCCACCGCCTTTCTTGGGTACAATAAAGTAAGGGCTGTAAAACCCCGACCTCACATCGGCTGGAGGAACCGGCTCTATCGTGTCCTTCACCAGTAGGACTGCGATCTCTACCCGCAAGACAGGGGCATCTGCTGCTTTCACTGAAGTAAATTGGATGCCCCTGAACTTGGGAGGGCGCCGGGCTTACTGAATCGCATAGCCGAGCATGACGGTTCGAAGGAGCCATCGAGACGGGCTGGGTAGCTCTAGCCAGGCTCCCAGACACCGCGTAAGTGGCGTCAACGGAACTACAGGTGTACCCGCAGTGGGGCAACGCGGAAGAACGCAGGGACCCGGCCCGGGCATCTCGTAGCCTGTCCGAGGCGGGGTCTGGGTGTGTGTAACACTGACCTGCGTTTGAGCAGAGGGTGCGTGGGTAGTCCGTTGGCTCGTCCTCCCGATCCGCCCACTGCTGCTCACTGGCGAGAGAGGAGGGTGAGTGTGATACAGCTCTGGATCGTCCACAACCCCCCGTCCCCTCAGGGGACCCAGAGATAGAAGAAATTGCTCTTTTGTCGAGTATTTGGATACCACTGACCGCGAGATCAGTGGCGGAAAAAAGGAAACAAAAGATTCTCTACCTGGCCCTCCTCCGGGGGAGGGAGTGGTGCGTTCACCATCTCCCGAAGAGCAACTCCCTCCATCTCTGGGTCGCCCGTCTCAGGGCCTCTTGCTCTTTTGCTTACCACCAGGTCTGGCGGGGGCCTGGACGGGCGGGGCGGCTGCCCTGCGGCAGGCTCCTCGGCACAGTTTTGCTGGAGGCTGCTGCGGACGCTGTGTGGGAGCGACCTCATCATGCACCTCCGGGAAGAAAGGCACTGAGGTGGGGCCCTGAGAACCAACGCGAGCCACCCCAAGAAACCAATCGTCCAACCTTGAGGGTTCGGGATGCGGTGGAAGATTCCACTCGAGCCCGACACTCTTGGCGGCATGGGAAAGCATAGCCATCATTTCCGGGTCCGTATCTGGCATCACCGACAACACAGAGGGCGGCAACGCTGACGGATCTTCATCCCCAGAGAAATCCAGCTCACCCTCCGATGCTGCAACCGACATCCGATCGTCGGGGGGAGCCTCGGAAGAAACAGGTGGTACCCCCCGGGAGGGTCCAGCCTGCTCTCTCGAGGGCTCCGCTGGTTTCGGAGTGCCGGCTGGCTGGGGCATCCCCGGAGGGGAATTCCTCACCGTGACCGTAAGTCCAGTCCGCCCACTGCCAGAAAAAGGGCGCCCCCGGCTGCCGCCAGAGGGAACCCCAGATCTAGGCTGTGGCACGGGCAGTCTGGTCCGCAACTCCGAGATGGTCATACCCCCACAATGGGAGCATGAGTCATCCACGAAAGCCACCTCATCGTGCTTCATGCCCAGGCACGAGAGGCAGCGATCGTGACCATCACCCGGATGCGCTGCATCTGCTGCCTACCTACACGCTGTGATCAGCAGCAGCTGGATACAATAATCGCATGCCAATGTGCATTGGCTCGTTTAGTTTACACTCGAAGTGGATTGGTCTCTCTAAGCGAGATCCCAATTTCGTCGGTCATCCGACGTGACGTCGAGAGTGACCGACTGAAAGGGAACTAAATATATAATAAAATACAATGACCATTTCTCACTATTAACTATTAATTATAACTTTTGCCTCAATAAACTCCTAATTTGCTGCTTACTAAAAGTTAGTAAGGTAATTGTTAAGTTTAGGTATTGGTAGCACTAAATGATCTAAAATGGTCATGCAGAATAAGACATTAATATATGCTTTATAAGAACTAGCCAATATGCTAGTGATATGCATGCTAATAAGCACCTAGTTCATTGTGAGAATTGGTCCTTAAAATAGAGTCGTACCAAATGTTTTAACACTCTATGTGTGTGCAATCTCTATGAAATTATTAAAAAATCCTCATCTAGTTTATGATTGGAAAAGTCATTGAAATTCAGTTGTCAAGATGAGTAGGAGCCTCTTCTTCCAGCTCTTCTAATATAATACATAGAGAACATATTCTGTTCTCCTGTAATTGAAATTGTTATTATGTTTCATGTAGGGATGCACCGATACCACTTTTTCCAGTACTCGCCCGATACCGATACTTTTATTTTTAGTACTTGCCGATACCGAGTACCGATACCAATATTTTCATTGCGTTTGTAAATTTTTCAAATATTGGGTACAGAAACCAAAAGAGTATGTATAATGTTAGTTGGTTTACTTAATTTATCAAATAGATATAGTCAAACCAAAATTTATTCAGACACCTTCAACATTTCTCACATTATCATTGTTTATTTGCTATAGTTTAGAAAATGGTAATAAAATATGACAAGAATTCAGAGTTAAACTGTGTCAGAACAAATTCAGCTTGATAATGTTTGGTAACTTTGATAGAAAGGTATGTAATAGATTACAATCAACCAAAAATTATTCAGACAGCTGGTAGTATGACAGTATTTACACAACTATGAATACTTAGTTGGGCAGCCCTTAGCCTTAATGACAGCCTGTAGTCTCCTGGGCATGCTGTCACCCAGCTTCATGCAAACCTCAACTTCAATGTTTTTTCCCAGACTCGGTCGGAATCATTTCTGGTCCCAAATTTGTATCCATTTTACTGGTAGTCCACTGTATGAAGAATTTTTGGGTATGATTTGTCACAGTTTACTTTATTTTGCTATCCTCACTTACATAAATTAACTATAGTATCCTGCACCTACTTTTAAAAAAATATCAAAAATTATATCAGGTCTCTGAATAAATTTTTAGTTTGACTGTATATCCTTAGATTATTTTCACACTTAATTATGCAGATTAAAATGTATTTTACAAGTTTTTGTTACTTTCACTGTTCATTTTTTTTGCTCTATGGTACATCATCTGTAATTTAATAGCATTAGAGCTGCTCCATTGCAGCGGCTCAGTACTGTAATCATGCGCTGTAATAATGCAGGGAACCACTCGCAATAAATCTCCTAACTGTGATATTTTCAGAAATAGAAGTCGCGTTTTTTTCATCTGAAACATGCTGCGATTTATATTCCAAAGCCACTCATATATAATGCAGAAACACTCAAGCAAGCAAAACACGCGCAATACGTGCACGTATTTGTACCGGTGCAGAATGAGAGGGACAAGTACAGCCTAGTGCATTTCACACAAGCTGCTAGATTCACTTTCGCACATCAGCTATACAGGCGTTAATACTGAATGTTTAACGTTATATTCATTGCATACATATACTTTGTAGTAAACATCCTTAACTCCATTCTGCTGTCTGTTGTTCTGTTGTCTGTTTCTTTGTCTGAATATGGGGCTTATCACATGCTGTGTGGTATCGGCGTTTGGTATCGGGGAATTTTAACGAGTAAGAGTATCGGGCCCGATACCGATACCAGTATTGGTATCGGTGCATCCCTAGTTTCATGTGTATGAGGATTATGTGAGGGAAATTAAATCTTCATGTCTTGCAAGAAATGTGATTTTACAGTAGAACGCAGGATTTCCTTATTCTGTGTGTCATTATCACACTCATTGATAGTTTCATTAATTCAAGCTTTGCCGTTCTCTGTGATGGCCTTAATTGTGTACTTATCCGCTCAAACGCACGGTTTTCCTCTCTGAAATTTCTCTTGTGTCTAATAAACACAGCCTACCCAAAATAGCCTCACTTTCTCTTCAGAGAGCAAACCAGCTTCACTATGAGATGCTGAAGTCTCCATGACAACACCAGAAACTTAGCGGCAACGCATCACTTCCCTAAGAGTTCGTCAGAAGACATGGTCTTTTCCCATGATTGGAAATTTTGAACAAATTAATTAATTAATCAATACAGTTCATGTGTAGTGGCACCTGAGATATGAAGATGGATAAGATCTAGTGTTATTATCTTTATAACCTTTTATAATTGAAGTCTTGTTCTAGTGGTTGCGTGATAACACATAAATGTGGCCTTGAACTGGGTCTCTAAAATGTAAAGTGTTTGTCCAGGAATCAGCTTATACAAGCCTGGATTTTTTTCAGTAAGTTTTTGTTGCTTTATATTTTTAATGACCCTCTTGAAAAATTCTCAGTTGCTCCAGTGCTTTTTGAGTACCTCGGATGTAACACAAATGTTACAATTACTCAGGCAGTTACTGTAGTTTTTTGTACTCTTTTAACCTTTCATTACTCTTTATGTATTAAATGCACTGCATTTGGTTCACATTCTTTCTGATTATGCTGATATTAGTTATGCATTTTTGTAGGTGCCAAAAAATTGACCAACAAGGCAACACTATGGTATGTCCCACTGTCCCTTCAAAACGTGGCCAAAATCATTGAAGTTCCTCTTATTGAGGTAAGAGTCTGTGCGTCAATGAACACATTGTCTTTCAATATCTATCTGTTTCTTATTACTGTCACTATATTTCAACTCCCCAATGATTTTTCAAGGTGCATTAGCTTAATTTTCATTACTTACATTTTACCAGAACCTCTTTATAGACAAGTACTCTGGTAGTTTACTTCAAAAAGTACAGTCAGACATTCATCTGTGGTCTTAACTTAAGTGACATGTATGTTATTTTTCAAATGTTTTATGCACTATTCTATGCTGTTTTGTAGTATAAATAGTATGATTAGTGTGTATTAGACAATTCCAAAAAGTGCACTTTAAATACACAGATGATGCAGTTAAATGTTGGAGACTTCATGCAGCGTTAATTACGACGTGGAGGGGGAGGGGCTATTAGACTTCGATGATGAATGACAAAATAACTCATTTATAATTCATACACTACACAATTGAGTACACTGTGCACAAGTACATAGTGTATAGTGCGTCATTTGGGACACAGCTCGTGCATTGCCAAATCATTTTGCTAAGATTTTCCAACATTTCTCAATCTAGTTGACTTTTTACAAACAAGTTGCTTGTTGTTTACCAGAGTGTGTTTTTGTCCATTACAGTATTCCAGCCCAGAACAAGAGGAAGCAGGTAAAAAGAGATATGAGGCTCAGAAATTAGAGCGAATAGAGACCAAAGTGAGGAATGGTGAGATCATCATATCTGTCTCTCTTCCAGGTAACACTTCCTCCTTTATGACCTTACACGTGCTTATCAATATATAGCAGATGTAAAACACCTTGCAATAAGTACATACATGGCAATACCATGGTGCAGTAATGGTATCAGATGGTAATACCGTGGTTCTTTGAAACCATAGTGCTGAATGATTAGCATACACATTTGCCATCATCTTTAAATGATGGACTGACAATGTATTGAGAAGTAAAATGTACTAAAAATGATGTACTGTAAAGTATACCATAGTCTTTGTCCAAAAACATAGTATTACCATAGTACATGTCCAACAAACATCATAGTTCCTTGGCCATTTGTAATATTTTTGTTAGTGATTGCTCTGCTTGTTGGACATTTTATCTTTCATCAGTAAGAGTTTTATGAATGGAGTCTCACCTTGATTTCATTGTATGTTATTTTGCTCTGATGCTGCACAGATAGACAAACAAAGGGTATGTATATATATTTTTTCTCTGACGAGCTATGAAGTTAATTGTCAAATAATGGAACATGTAGAATAAATTGTCTTTTGTGTGTAGCATCAGGAAATATGTAAGTATTTATTGCTCAGATAACAAGTTTTGATCTTTGCTTTTATTTGCAGATCGTAAGATTTAAGTATATGTATATGTGCGTTTTTAGTATGTTTTTCTCTCTTTTCTCTTTTCTTTCTTAGAGCCCTACACTGTTGCATTTAGTCAGTCGAGTCTGATCCACCTCATCGGCCCATCTGACTGCACTCTGCATGGCTTTGTACATGGAGGTAATAATTTTGACTTTTTTCATGATTATTACATTAAATTAATACTATTCAAAAGGCCTGATAGAATGTTTTAGAGTGAGGCTCTCACATCTGTGGATTTCCATCTTAATCTAAACACATTTAGCTCACTTTCATCAGAAATTAGCTGCTTTTTTCACACATTTGACAATGTCATCATTGCCTGAAGCACACTAACCAAACCTAGACATCAAACCAGTATTGAACATACACTGTAAAAAACTGACCGTGAATTTAACGGTAAAAGACTGTAAAAATGCTACAGTAAAAACCTGTTAAATGGTTAACGGTAAATTCCCCTACTATATACGGTGAAAAACTGTATTGGACATTACATGTAATTTTCCGGTAGAATACCATTTTTGGAAGTGAAAAAGACATTCCCAGAATTCCCTGCGGTACATTTCAAATGTGATGTTTTTTGTTGTTGAAATAACTGTTTCTTCTTAGTTTTTTCTTATCAGTTTTGTATATTAGGGTTGTGTGTTACACCTAATGTTGTTAAATGAATGTTTATTGCATTATTTCAGTTTCATGTGTGTTACCATGATGGTGTTTAGTGTTTGTGTGAATGACATTGTGCACCTTCTATATATATTATTATTTCAAATCTGTTTGTGATGGGCTTTGGTTCATCATGTGACTTTCTCATCACCACCTGCTTTTGGTGGTTATCAGTGTGTTACAAAGCAGTGTTAATTTCGTCAACGAAGATGACGACAAAAAATATTTGTTAACGAACATTTTTTCTGTGACTAAGACGAGACGTTGACAAGCTAAAACTAAAATCTGATGACGAAATTTATGCCGTGTCTTCGTTAACTAGACGAGACGGGACTATATGTTATTTGAGGACTACAGGAAATTCAAAATACAACTGTCCTCTTTCAAAATGTGCATCCCTGTCATTGGATTGCAATCGGATAAGGGGCGTTTGCATATCTAGTCTCAGTATGGCAGCCGCAGTGGACAGATAGGCTAATAAAACGCAAACTAGCAATTTGAAACAATGGCCTCAGCACACGAAGGGGAAGGGATAAGGTGATCAGATGTCCCATTTTTCCCGGGAGTCACAATTCGTTGTCGATTAACTTAAAGTTAGTGAAGTAGGCACTCTGATAGCAGTGCTCTCTCTCGCGCACGCTCCACTTCTTCAGTTCTCATATACAGCGTGTGATCAGTTCTCAGAGCTCAAATACACACACAGCGGTCCAAATGTCTATCGTGTAGAGTATTTCACGTACATTTATACAGTCGGTTATGGATTAAGTGAACGTAAACAGGTGGGTGAAAACTGAACGTGTGTCATACATGCATGCATTCCGTCTTAAAGTGACAGCATTCCTAATTAAGTACCTATCCATGTCATTAATGTTAACCAACAAAAGATGTTAAACAAATATTTTAAGTAAACCTACTGAATCTGAAAAACGAGTTTAATTTGTATCTCTTTCGTATTTGTCTTATTGTCTTAATCTGCTTCTTTTTCAAAAATTATATATTATATATATTATACATGAACAACTATAATTTTTATAAGTTGCTCCCTTTTCACTACTGTTAAAGGGATAGTTCACCCAAAAATGAAAATTGTCATAATGTATTCAAGTTTTTCCAAATTCAATCCTTGATTCAAATTTCTCATAAGCTTAATTGATTTGGTCTAAAGAGAGAAGAATTAATGACTATTTTTGTTTGAAGACTACATATAAAATAGCTACCAAAATAAATGTTGGTAACTGCAGTTTGACTAAAAGTAATGACTAAAAGTTGACAAAAATACAATGACTTTTCGTCGACTAAAACTATGAAAGACTCAAATGACTAAAATGTGACTAAGACTATTAAGCATTTTCGTCTCAAGATAAAGACTGACTAAATCAAAAATGCCTGTCAAAATTAACACTGTTACAAAGGTACAAAACCGATTTCAGTACTTCAGTAAGTTGGTATATTAACATTATATCAGTTAATGAAATTACAGTATTTAACTGTAAATTTAAGTTAAAACCGTAAAACCTAAAATGTTGCTACCGTAAATTTTACGGTAAAATTCTGGCAACCACAGCTTCCAGTATTTTTTTTTTTACAGTGTATGGTTATACCCTGCTTTAACACTGAAAATATCAGTAGAAGTTAAAGGTTATCTGCTTCACCCAAAATTATTGTGTTAAAAGTCTCTTTTGGTATATCAGCTGTCTGTTTGATTGAAAGATTGAAATAGTATTTTCTTTTGAAACATATTTTAATAATCTCCGTTTTATTTACAACTTCATGAAATCCTTTTTTACAATGCAAAGACGAAGTGTGAGAAATGATTAATGATTAATTCAACATTCAGCTGTCTACTTGTCTGAGTCAGGTAACACAGGATTAGTTCACCTCCTGAGTCATTTCACTCATGAACACAAGAAAATCACAAAACAGTGAATTCACTCTCAGAGAGAACTTCTTAATGCTGAGTCATATAACAGAGACGGTAAAAAAGCACAAAACGTTCATGAGCGACCCATCACTAACGCTCAGTCAGACTGTTCTCGGTCATACACAGTGAAATTAGATCTGCTCTAAAAGTATTCTTAGCCTCTAACTCAATCACTGGTGAGTGAAAGCAATTTATTAGCTAATGGCTTATGGACAGACATTATGTAGTTGCCTTGCGCAGAATTTAGTTGCATTAACTTGCAATGTAGAGGGTTGGCTGTAACTACCACAGCCCCATTTATACATGCATGACAAGTAGTCGACTCACTGACCTGAATGAGTTACATAAACACAAGAACATCAGCAGCACAGTCCGTGTGGAAACCGAAACAGGGAACATTTGACACATACAGCTGAACCTAAACCTTAATTTTCGATCTGGAACATGTTTCCTACCAGGCATATGTATCTAAGTAAAAATCAATGTTTGGTTTTTATGCTAAGCTGCCTGACAATGGAGGTTCTAAAATTGGTATGATGTCATTTACACACACACACAATCATTAATCACATGTATGTAAGGAGGAAGAGATGAGTAGTGGTGCATCAATAATGTGAGATAGGGGAATGAGAAATGGGAGGACCCTGACGTCAATAAAAGAGAGAACCATTTCATATCTTGTCAGTTATTCATATAATCACTTGCATGAATGTTGTTTTTTCGTAGAGCTGCATTCAAGCCAAAGCATGTCTGGTGATCACTCAAATTCATGTTACATTTCTATTTGACGTTTACACAGTAATGGAACACATTTACACTATTTACAAGCAACCGATACCATTGCATCTTTATAGTAACAGAATTTATTTGTACAAAGTCACATACAATCTCATATTTATTTTGCTATCTAATGCAGCAAAATTAATATTGAGTGCTTTAACCACACTGAGTGCTCACAAAAAAACTGCATCACTCACAGATCAGTAAATTCAAGTTTATTTGATTCAGATGTGATTGAAAGTAATTGGTTGAAGTGTTTACTTTACAATTTTCTGTAATATAAGTTTCTGGCAGTTTGACTCATTGAGGTTGATTTGTGGACTGACTGTGAGCAGAAAGGCATTATTGCATTGTCAGGATAATAAGCAGCCAGTTTTAGTGCTACAAAGACTATTGACTGTATCTAGCGGTCCCCCCTCAAATTCATGCTTTAAGAGTTTAATGAGAACACAGTGATCTCCAGGGAGGCAAAAGGGACACTTTCTTCCTCTGAAACATCATTCGCTGGTGTAGCTTGTTGGACAGTGTTATTTTAGATGTGCTTTACTATTTTTCCCATATTTCATAATACTTGTTTGATTTTCTCATCTAACTGACTCTCTTGCATCCTTGGAGTCGAAAACACCTTGGCTAGTGACATGAACATCATACCGTCTTGGGGGTGGACCAGTATAAAACTACCCATCACACCCTAGCATCTGCACAACAATGCACCAGCAACCACTCGAGAACACGTTATAAATAGCATCCTTTTTTTATTGAATTGAGGCCAAAAAATACAAAGGGCTGTATCCATCATATATACCCTTTGATTTACTTCAAAGCAAAGTTTTTGTTTTAAGTGTCCATGCAAAAAGTCATGAAAAGACTTTCTTTAAAGAAACGTATGCACAGAATCATAACGAGAAATAATCTGCTGACTTAGAAATTCCAGTTCATTCAGTTCGTTCAAGTTCATGTATTGATCACCCATCACTGTGGCATTAATCCATCTTCTTTTCCATTGTAGTTTATGGGAGAACAATCCTCTATAGCTCTATAGCACTTTATATAATTCACATTTTTTCAAAGCTGCTTCAATAACAAACTTCTTAAAATATGAGAAAGTCAAATTATGCTCAAAAAACAGATGGTGTCATTATTCAGCTCAAGTCAGTTCAGAGTTGATTTAGTTGAGTTCAGTATCTATTTAAAGTTCATCACTTATTAAACAAGCTCAATTCAGCTATAAGCAGATCTACAGAAGGCAATGTTGTATGTAATATTGTGACTACATGCATGAACACTAAGTATATTGCATCATAATTTTAATGTAAGTTCATACTATAGTAGTTATATACACCTAATATAAAGCAGGACCAACAGAGAGGACAAAAAATGGCTTAAATACACTTAATTCTCAGCAATTATCTGCAAAAATATGAGCCCTAATGCTTTCTCCAGTGAAAAAAAGTTGTTTCGTCTGAATCAGGAGAGAAATATGCACAGATCAAGCTCTCAAGTGAAAACAGTTGTTTCGTCTGAATCAGGAGAGAAATATGCACAGATCAAGCACTCAAGTGAAAACAGTGCAAAACATTTCTAAACAATGAATGGCCTGAGGGTGAGTAAATTTTCAGCAAATTATCGTTTTTGGGTGAACTATTTCTTTTGGCCAGATTTTTAAAAAGTGCCATTGCCTACAACAGGAGCTTAAAACAATGAGAAGTAGCTATTTGGTCATTGTTATTTTCTTACAGCTAATAATATATGAACAAGACATAGATGCAACTGTAAA